ATGGCCGCTCCACCCATTAAGCGTTTAACCAGGGCAGAAATGGCAGAACGCCAAGCAAGAGGCCAATGTTTCAACTGTGATGACCTCTACTCGACAGAACATAGATGCAAAAGGCTTTTTTGCCTCCTCATCGATGAACAAGAGGAGGAGGAAGAAGAACCAGTCATATTCGAGCCAGAGATCTCTCTCCATGCGATCACCGACATTAAAACTTCTCAGACCATGCAGTTATAGGCACAAATAGCAGGTCAACCGGTGCGCATTCTCGTCGATTCAGGGAGTACACAACTTCATAAGTGAACATGCCKCCCTTCAGTTAAAACTGCCAATGGAGCTTCGACCGCGACTACAGGTAGCCATCGCAAATGGTGAGAGTTCACAATCCAGAAATTTGTAAGGACGTGCCGGTAGAGGTCAATTCTGAACTGTTTCTTGCTGATTTATTTGTACTTTCATTGGATGGATTCGATATTGTTCTAGGGGTCAAGTGGTTAATTACCCTAGGCCCGATTTTGTGGGACTTCAGCGCACTCACCATGACCTTCCACCTAAATGGAAAGCAAGTTTCATGGCACGGTTGCAGGGTTAAAGAAAGGACACCACAGGTCCATGCACTTCAGACAGAACTGGCAGCCATGGAAAAACTTCTCGCCGAGTTTTCAGATCTGTTCCAAGAACCCAAGGGCCTCCTCCCTCCCCGAACTTGCGATCATCGTATTCCTTTGATGGCGGGTTCAGCACCAGTCGTTGTCCGGCCGTATCGCTACCCTCACTTACAGAAGGACGAGATAGAGAAACAATGTACAGAGATGCTGAACCAAGGAATCATACACAAAAGTTACTCCCCCTTCTCTTTGCCGGTTCTGTTGGTGGCGAAGCAGGATGGAACGTGGAGGTTCTGTGTTGACTATAGAGAACTCAATGACCGGACGATCAAAGATAAGTTCCCTATTCCCGTTGTTGATGAACTGTTGGACGAGTTGCATGGTGCCCAGTATTTCTCTAAGTTGGACCTCAGGTCCGGATACTTCCAAGTTCGCATGGCTCCTGGAGACATAAAGAAGATTGCTTTTCGCACCAACCATGGCCACTTCGAATATTTAGTCATGCCATTCGGACTCTCCAACGCCCCATCTACATTTCAGTCACTAATGAACGAGGTATTCCAGCCCCATCTGCGCAAATTTGTTTTAGTTTTCTTTGATGATATCCTCGTTTACAGCAATTCATGGGTAGAGCATGTCCACCATCTAAGGACCGTTTTCGAGCTCCTACACCAACACAAATTATTCCGGAAATGATCCAAGTGCTTCTTCGGAAAGCGACAGGTTCTTTATCTCGGCCACGTCATCCATGGGCAGGGTGTGACAGTTGATAGTTCCAAGATTCAGGCTATAAAAGAATGGCCCAAACCTCAATCAGCCAAGGCCTTACGCGGGTTCCTCGGTTTAACGGGTTACTACCGCAAATTTGTACAGAACTATGGAGTGTTGGCAGCCCCGTTAACCAACTTGTTGAAGAAAAATTCCTTCCGGTGGGACGACGCAGCAGATGAAGCTTTCCTGACATTGAGAAATGCCCTGTCTTCCACCCCTATCTTGCAATTACCTAATTTCGCCCTCAAATTTACAGTCGAGTGCGATGCTTCCGGAGTGGGTATCGGGGCCGTACTACAGCAGCAAGGGCACCCGATTGCCTTCTTCAGCCGCAGACTGGCCGACCGGCACCTGAAGCTTCCAGCCTATGAGCGCGAACTAATTGGCCTAGCCCGACCGTCCAGCACTGGAGGCCATATTTGTGGGGGTGGTCATTCGTCGTCAAAACTGATCATTACAACCTCAAATATCTGTTAGAGCAGGGTCTCACCACTTCCCCTCAGCAGCATTGGGTTAGCAAACTGCTCGGGTTTGACTTCCGGGTGGAATCTAAGGCGGGATCCTCAAATCGCGCAGTTGATGCCTTGTCTAGGCGAGATGAAGACGCGATGGTTCTGTGTAGCATTTCCCAACCTCGGATTTCTCTGTTTGACGACATTAAAAAGGCAGCACCACAGTCCCCTGAATGGTCGCTCTTGCTACAGAAGATCCAATCCGGCACCGCCGACCCCAATTGGTCACTTGAAGACGGATTGGTACTGTATAAGGGACGAGTCCATCTTCCACTAGACTGCCCGTTGATCCCCACCATCATCACCAGCATCCATAACTCCACCCACGAGGGCATTCAAAAAACACTACACCGTGTCCGGACTGATTTCCATTGGCAAGGTATGAAGACTTCTATTTGAGATTTTGTCCAGAATTGCTCCACATGCCAACAACACAAATGGGAAAACCTACACCCGGCAGGCCTCCTTCAGCCCCTTTCCATCCCGACACAGATCTGAGCCGACATCTCCATGGACTTCACTGAGGGACTACCCAAGGTAGGTGGCAAATCAGTTCTCTTCGTGGTAGTCGACCGCTTCTCTAAATACGCCCACTTCATTCCTCTATCACACCCGTACAGTGCCACTTCGGTTGCCYTCGCCTTCTTTACACATGTCTTTCGCTTACATGGGTTACCAGAATCCATAGTCAGCGATAGAGACCCGATTTTCACTAGTGCCTTTTGGAAAGAGTTATTCCGGCTACAAGGCACCACCCTAGCCTACTCATCAGCTTACAGGCCACAAACTGACGGTCAGACGGAAGTGGTTAACCTCACAATCGAGATGTATCTCCGTTGTTTCGTAGGCGATCAACCACGACGATGGGTGGATTGGATCCCTTGGGCCGAGTGCTGCTACAACACAGCCTACCATTCTTCCCTCGGCATGACTCCCTTTTGCGTCGTTTATGGCAAGGATCCTCCCCGCTTGTCCTACGAGCCGGGTTCTACTCGTTTGGAAGCAATTGATCACTCCTTACAAGAACGCGATGCCCTCCTAGCCGACGTCCACCTTCGCTTACAGCAGGCCCAGCTCCGCATGAAGCTCCACTATGACAAGCACCATCGGGAACTGTCATTCGACACAGGACAATTTGTTTGGTTGAAACTCCAGCCMTACCGGCAACGCTCCTTGCGCCACAAGGCTGCCCCGAAGCTGGCCCCTAAGTTCTATGGGCCCTACAAGGTTCTACGACGGATTGGCAGTGTGGCCTACCA